AACTTCTGATTTCTAATAAAATACTCAAACATATATTTTTATTTAAAGTATATATAATTAAATTTTGAATAATTATATAACACTAAACGTACCATTTTACATATACCTATCTTACCATAAGAATTATGACTGGTTATCAGATTATTATTTAACACTAAACGTGGGGTCATTTGACCTTTATAAGTAAACGTTGATTTTTAGAAAGAAATTCTTAATTTATTAAAGGAAATAATTTCTGCAACATAACTTAACGTTGATTTTTAGAAAGAAATTCTTAATTTATTAAAAGAAATAATTTGCAGCATAACTTTTGATTTCTAATAAAATAAAACTCAAACATATATTTTTATTTAAAGTATATATAATTAAATTTTGAAAAAGGGTCATTTGACCCCTCATGAATGAACGTTGATTTTTAGAAAGAAATTCTTAATTTATTAAAGGGAATAATTTAAGCAGCATAACTTTTGATTTCTAATAAAAATACTCAAACATATATTTTTATTTAAAGTAAATTTTGAAAAGGGGCCATTTGACCCTGCTTGATACGTTTAGTATTAATACATAATCCTAGTGAAGGACAATAAAGATGTACGAAACTAAAAAATTTTTTAAAAAATGATTTGACGATTAATTAAATTCAGCAAGTTTTTCTTGACTTTCTGACAAACACGTGAAACTCGCGAAAGACGTAATTTCGAGCGTACTAATTAGGTTACAGTTTTTCGTTCACCTAATCTGGTTCTACAGCTTGCGGTGGCCATTTGAGTGCGACGGCCGAGGTGAAGCATTTGTACTCGCACGCGAAGTACGGCAGCCACAATTACGACCACAGGACCGATTGCGATTGGGCGATCGAGGCACCGTCCGGCAAAAATGTACATCTCACGTTCGTCACGTTCCAATTGGAGTCAGAGAGCGACTGTAATTACGATTTCGTCGAGATCTACTCCGGCTTGGACACGTCGGGCCTTCTCTACGGCCGATATTGTGGAAATAGCGTAAGTTTAGCGAAACTATCATTACAACAACGATTCCCGAGACATTTAACACGTTCCGTTCCAAGCCATTTTTGCCTTTTGTTATCGTTCAGGCCATTTG